CGGCAGTATACCACCAGGTAACGGGATTGTACGCGGAATTTTAACTTTTTTCTTTCCACCCACAGGTTTAACAGCTATACGAGCACTTCTAAGCTAATCTAGCCGCTTCCCGTAAATTATCTGTTGTTTTGGGTAAATCTTTAGCGATTTGCTTTACCAACACGCTTTTAAATGCTTTTTTTTTTAATATTTTTTTTATCTTTTAATCTTTTAATTATTTTTTTGACCCTTATGACCCATCCCCAATTTTCGTTTAACTTTCATAGCGTTTGTAACTAACCAAGCTGATGCTTTTTCCACCAATGTCGAATCTTTCGCTTTCACTCTCTCCCAAGCGTTTTCCTCCAAACGTCTATCGGCCATGTGACGTTGTTCTAAAGAATTATTTTCCGAGTACGCTATATCGTGTTCTCTACAAGCCTGATCTAATGGATTTATTCCTTTATCACCTCTAGCCAAACGTTTCTTCAATTTTGTTCCTGGTCCACAAAATTGATAGCCTGGAACGTGTAACTCAACGGGTAGTTTATTGATAAGTGTATTCCGCTTTCTCCCGCCGTCGCAGACGTACTATCTTGAGTAAACAGCCTACTCAACTGATGCGGTTTACGCTTTCACATCCCTTATATACCCGCACATGAAGATTAAAACTCATTTTAGTTTTATAATGCGTGTAGTGCAACACCCATCTCTCACAATGTCATTAACCGATCTCGATCGGTTAACGATGATGAAACCGATAACCAGTCGTAGACATGGTGATCTCATACCGAACAGTATACGAGCAATAGTATGCGGTCCGAGCGGATGTGGGAAAACCAATTTGATGTTAAATCTCATTTTCGATAAAAATGGTTTAAATTTTGAAAATATTTATATATACTCAAAATCCTTACATCAACCGAAATATGAATTTTTAGAAATGATTATGAAACAGTTACCCGAAATAGGACTTTATAGATTCATCAATAATGATGCCGTTATAGATCCTTCTGAAGCTAAACAATACTCAATTTTCATATTTGACGATGTAGCATGTGATAAACAGGATAAGATTCGATCATTTTTCTGTATGGGACGACATAATAATATTGATTCGTTCTACCTTACGCAAACCTATACGCGGATACCTAAACACCTAATACGTGACAATGCAAACGTCTTAATTCTATTCAAACAAGATGAGGTTAATTTAAAACATGAGTATGATGAACAAAGAGGCCAGTTGGCGGCGCGGTAATTAGGAATTTTTGTAGGTTGTTTTGGAGGAAGGGTTTTCGACCCCAGGAGGAGTGGCGGGCGTTGAGGTCTCCGAGGATAAGGATTTTATTGTATGGGATTATCAGGTTATTGAAGTCTCTTTTTGTTAGGGGGAATTTGGGGCTGCTGTAGAGCGTGGATATGTGGAGATTGTTTTGGAGGTTTAGGGTGATGATGTCTAGGTGGTTTAGATCGGGCTGGGAGATTTTGATGTGTGGGATGTCATTTTTTATTAATATGGCTACACCTCTGGAGCGGCGGGTAAAGTCTTTTCTGTAGACGGTGTAGCCGGGAAAGGATATTCGGTCGGTTGGGATAAGTTTTGTTTCGTTTAGGAGTAGGATATCTAATTTGAAGCGGGATAGGAACTCATTGATTTCTGAGATTTTAGGGATGAGGCTGTTTGAGTTTAGGTGGGCGATTATTAGTTCAGACATTGGAAAGGTTTTGAACAAAGGTTTGAGTGGCTTGGATAAGGTTTCCGGGAGATTTATCGATTTTTAGTTGGGATATGTACTGTTATAGGGCTTGGATCAGTGCTGAGAGGTTGATTAAATTATTTAATTCGGACATGAGGGTGGTGAGTTCGTATAAATCTGAGGTGTTTGTTTGTTGAGGAGCGGAAGGGTGTTTGTTTGTGTTGTGCGGGGGGCGGGGGGAGCGGTTTTGTTGCCGGCGATTATGTTCCACGGCGTGGTCATTGTTTGGGGAGCTGGGGGAAGGATTTTTTGGGAGTGCGTTGGTGCTTTTTAGGGAAGCCTTACGTTTCTCTTCCTTAGGGCTTCTGCATACCTGGGGCAGTCCGTTGAATTCGCCGTATGTGGGCCTCCGCAGTTGGCACACGACACCGGAAGACCGTTCTCGCGGTTTATCGCGCACTCGGTCGTTTTGTGGTCGCCCGTACATTTTACGCACTTAGGTTTCGCGTAGCAATTGGACGTTGCGTGTCCCCACATCTGACAGTTTTTGCACTGGATTAACATTTTGCTGTTCTTAACATGGTCCCAGAACACGCGGGTTCTGAGGACATATCTAATCGTCTCTTGCACTGTTTTTAAAGATTTGATTTTCGCGAAAGTGACCAAGAATTTAGGGAATTTCGTTACCCTCATCCTGAAGCATTTGCTGACTTCTATATCGTACTCGTTTAGTATGTCTTCTTGGATTTCTTTGGGTTCAATTTGATGCGGGAGACCATCTAGGACAAAGGCTTTTTCCCGCTCTTCTTTTGACGAATGCTACGTTGTTTAATTTTGGTTCGTCATGTTAATAGTGCATTGCCCGTTAGAGTATCTAAGGGTGTAGCTACTTTTTCCGACCCATTTGTTGAGGTCGGTGGTGATTTTGGTGTGGTTTGAGTGTCCGTCGATGTGCATGTGCACGGGGGGACAGGATTTTTTGGGTTGGGATTGGGGTTTTGTTATGGGGGTTGTTGATTTGACGTTTGTGTTGCTGTTTACTTCTATTTCCTCGGGGAGAAGGGAATATTTATCCGATGTGGGGATTGTGGCAATTATTCTTGCGGTTGAGGTTGAGGGAATGGGTTGTGATTGTTTGGAGGGTTTGGGGGAGTTTGAGGTTGTGGTCTTACTGATTTTCAGCTTTTTGGGGCATTGCGAGTCGTCGCTAGAGACCGCCATTTCTTCGGAAACTTCTGACGCTACGGAGTGTTCCGTAGTGACTGTAGAGTCGGAGTCTTCTTCGTCGTCAGTTGCTTTTTCGACGTACGTTTTTACTTTCGTGGTCGTGTCCAACAGTTTATGTTTACCCATAACGAGCCGCGTTTTACTCAGTTTTTAAACTTATTTCTTCTTTTTATTAAAAAGTTTTTAAACTTAAAAGGAACACTTTGACCGTTTCGATCGCACTCCGGTACCTGCGTCCCGGACGGACCCGACCCTTGAGCCGGGTTTCTTTGTTCGCGCTCGTAGTTTAGTTCCGAAAATAACTTTTAATTGTTACGACGGGCACAACGTAAGAACACGTGGGCACTTATTAAAAAACAATTAAAATACACTCAGGAGAGAGGTAAAAAACGATCCGCTCGGTACGAGGGCTCGAGTTGAACTGGACGAGAACCGGTACGTTCAAAGTGGTATGGCCGTTGTCTATAGTTAATGCTTTATTGCGGCTTACGTTTGTCCGCAAGTCGAAGCAACTCACTGCAACGCAATGCACATCGAAAACCCGGTCCGACCGATGCACCGCACGTTCGTACCCGAGTCGCACATTGTCGACCTGCGCTGCAACTCAATGCACATCACGGCAAATCGAAGCGATGAGACGCCGGACCCGTTTTCCGTTCCCATACGAACTCGTACCATCGAAAAGTTAAACTATTTTAGAAATTTAATTTTTTCTATTTCCCACTGAATAGTACCTACTTTTAATGCAATCCGGCCAACCGGGTATCCCACTGAATAGTACCGACTTTTAATGCAATCCGGCCAACCGCGTATCCCACTGAATAGTACCGACTTTTAATGCAATCCGGCCAACCGCGTATCCCACTGAATAGTACCGACTTTTAATGCAATCCGGCTAATCGTGTATCCCACTGAATAGTACAGACATTTAATGCAATCCGGCTAATAGTTTTATCAAAAGAAGGAAACATTTATTTATATCGCCCGTCGTAAAAGTTACATCCACCGTTAAGGATTTTACGGGGTATGAGGTGCGGTATGAGAGCGAGCGGGTAATGCAGCAAAAGACCTGATATGCGCGAGCAATACATGAGGAATACTTAAAAATCACAAAAATTCATACAAAAATCTCGATCGATGCGCGATCGATTGCGCGTGAGCGAACATCACTGTCTTGGTTACACCTCACACTATATTCAGATTTCATAGCAAGAAAAAAAAATAAATAGGCGGGAGCAGCTCAATTTTTTTCATTTTGAGGACCACAGCCAGGTATGCGTTTATTGTTTCCCACTTGGTTTGGTCGCTAAACTTTGTAGCGACTACTGTTTTTTCTTTCAAACAATTTTTGCCTTATGCCATGCCATCTCCGGTTGTGGAAAATCTGGCATAAATCCCCGCCACAAACATTGTGTCCCATTTCTTCATAGTTTTCTAAAATATCCTGGTCCCGAAATCGGTCATCAAATTCCTACCCACACACCAAATAGCCCTACACCTCTTCAATGGGATTCAAATCGAGTCAGCGTGGAGGCCATTTTAACCTTTCTATATTATGTCTTAACAAATATTAAAACCGTGGAATGAGAATGTTTTGAATTTTGCGATAACAAAAATGATTTTGCATCCGTAGATATAGCACCCCGCCAATCCTGATTTACATTTTTTTGGTAACCCAACGTTAAGTTATAAGAACCAACAAGAACCCGACGTTTTTAAGAAAGAAGTGAAAGATTTGACGTAAATTAGAATTGTCTTCGTCGTTTTCTTCATCCAATTCTCCTCAACCTCGCACCAGTGACCGAGCCTGCTATTTTTCCACAACCACAACGACTTGGTGATACCTATCCAGCGACCATCCACGAGTCTACATCGGGATTTTTAGAGACGAAACCTACATTGCAGGTATTTCGATTTCTGGTAAGGGTTAATAAGTGTTGATCAGCAATATAATTATTTGAACCTAAATAAGTATCCTACCACAATCATGAATACTTCTGGTGATCAAAGCGTTGACATTGTCACCAATATTAGATTGCCTCCCTTCTGGAATGCAAATCCTGCTGCATGGTTTCACCAAATTGAAGCGCAATTCTACCTGTCAAGAATAACTAATGATAAAACAAAATATAATTTGGTAATTACGCATTTGCCTACCGAGATAGTTTCGATTGTTTACGACGTCGTAGATGCTCCACCGGATATCGATTCATACTTATATTTAAAAAACACTTTGATCAATAGGCTTTCTCTAAGTGAAGAGAAACGTCTTGATGATCTCCTTTCCGGCTCTCAGATGGGAGATCAAAAACCATCTGATTTCTATAGGAGTATGTTATCGACAGTCGGTGGATCGCAAGTCGTAAGTCCAAATTTATTGCTAAAACTTTGGCAGAGAAGATTGCCCCAAACTATCTCGGTAGCGTTATTGTCTTCAGGTAAAGATGACATCAATGATTTGCTTAACATAGCCGATAAAATCTGGGATTCATTATCTTTTTCAACGACTCGTTTTCCTAAAATTGAAGTCAACAAAATTAACGACGAGTCCTCTTCCAATGTGCATACAACTTCTCAATTGTTACAAGCCATAAATAACCTTTCAGTTTCTATTGATAAAAACTCACAACAACTTCATCAATGGCAATCAAATATCCAGACGAGCATTAACTCTCTTGCTGCTCGACTTAACGAACCTGACATAGCAACAAATCTTTGCTATAATTGTAAGATGTTAAGGTATCGATCACCTCGTCCAAGAAGTTCTTCCAGGCAACGTCAAAACCATATCTGTTATTATCATTCCAAGTATGGCGATAAAGCACGAAACTGCGAAAAAGAATGTATGTTTTATAATTCCTTTAAAGACACAAATCTTTCATCATCTTCACAGAACCAAAAAAACTGAAACAAGTTTCGCTAGAGAACAACAATTCAATAAATTCAAAACTTGATTCAAAACAATTCAATGAACGACGAACGCACCCGATAATTAATCAAATCAGTTCTCGTCTTTATGTTTACGATAACCAATCCAATTTAAATTTTCTGATTGATACAGGAGCAGACATCTCTGTGCTGCCTTATAAATTCTTTCGTAAACATAAGAGAGATACCATTTCTACATTAACGGCTGCAAATGGTACGCCAATAATTACCTATGGAAAAAAATTGTTAACATTAACATTGCAATTAAGAAGAAATTTTCCACATGTTTTCACAATTGCTGATGTCAACAAACCAATTATTGGCGCTGATTTCTTAAACAAATTCGACATTATCGTCGACATCAAAAATCGTCGTTTAATTGATAATACTACCAAATTATCTTCAATAGGTAGCATCAAAAAATCTTTTATACCAATACCCAAACTCTTCTCTATCGAAACTAAATTCACTTCTCTCGTTAAATCTTTCCCAAAATTAACTTCATCACCTAATTTTTTATCTCCAATTAAACACACAACGCAACATCGAATCATTACAAACACTCACTTGCCGTTTTGTCGTCCAAGACGTTTAGACCCCATAAAATTTTCTATCGCTAAAAAAGAATTTGAACACATGGTATCACTTGGAATCTGTCGGCCATCTTCTTCACAAGTTTCTTCCCCATTGCACATGGTGCCTAAAAAAGATTCGAATGATTGGCGGCCATGTGGCGACTATCGTCAATTGAACCTTGCCACAATACCTGATCGCTATCCATTACCTCATATCCATGACTTCAATCTGCATCTTCATGGTTGTACAATATTTTCTAAAGTCGATCTTGTACGTGCATACCATCAGGTACCTGTGGCTGAAGAAGATATTCCCAAAACAGCGATTTCAACACCATTTGGCTTATTCGAATTTTTGAGAATGCCCTTTGGCCTCAAAAATGCCGCCCAAACGTTCCAACGCTTCATGAACGAAGTACTTTCTGGTCTAGATTTAATTTTTGTCTATTTGGATGATATCCTTGTCGCAAGTAAAAACGAAGAAGAAATGGTCTTCAACCATTTCTTCATCAACACTCTTTGAGAGGTTAAGCGCTTACGGTATCAATATCCAACCATCAAAATGTCTTTTTGGAGTTTCCTCTTTAGATTTCCTTGCGCATGAAATCTCTTCAGAAGGAATCCGCCCTTCTCAATTGCAAATAAAATCTATTAATGATTTTCCAAAACCTACAAATTTAAAGGAAATTCAAAGATTTTTAGGGATGATAAACTACTTTCACAGGTTCGTACCAAATTTTTCAGAGATATTACGACCTCTTTATAATTTGGCAACTTCCCTTCGTTCCAAAACACAACTTATACTTTGGTCTCAAGAAAATTCCAATTCTTTTGTTTCGGCCAAAAGTGCTTTAGCAAATTCGATCGCTTTAGCTATCCTTGCCCTGGTGCTGCTTTACATTTAACCACAGACGCTTCCGACACTGCTATGGGAGCCGTTCTTTCGCAAGCAGTTGATAATTTTACAGCACCACTTGCTTTTTATTCAAAAAAGCTCACTTCTACTCGAACTACTATTCGAAGAGAATCGCTCTGTGGTTGGGGGCATTAGAATACTACCACCGTATAATCGGCGTGGGGTAAGAGTCCCTTGAACGAATCTATATATATTTTTTGTTTGTAGTCTTTTCCATCTATGCTTTGTTGCAGTGTCGACTATTGTTATATTTATATTTTTTTTTTTTTCGCAGAAATTTACGTTGTAAATTTCTTTTATCTAGGTTGGGGAGGAATGTTACGGTCTCATTTTTGTTCCTTTTATTTTCCTTTTAATGTTATTTTGCTCCTTGTTTATGTTTATTTAGTGTAAGATAAAGCTCGATATTATTGATTTTTTTTTTGTAGTTTAGAATATTTTGTTTGTTTTGTTGTGTTTCAGGGAGAGAACGCCAAGGGTTGATGTTGTTGAGAAAATTTCTATTTTTATTTTGTACCAAATTTTGGTTTAGCTTTTGAACTTTAGATGGTAGGGTTAGAGTAATTTAATTACACAATTTTGTTGGTTTTTTTTTCTTCCTCTTTATTATTAAAGTTTCAGAACACTTCATTTAAATTTTGCTATTTTTTTTTATTATTATTTCGGTTTTACGCGAATTATTACGGTGTCTGATTTGAGTTCCGAGTATAAGTTTGACATGTTGTAAAGTATTTTTTTTGGAAATCCTTGAAACGGGTATTTAGGCTATTGCCGGAAATTGTCACGGGCACTTGATAATAAACTGCGAATCGTGTTAAATGTAAGAGTGGTTAAAGTTGTCTTTTATACGATATTTTGGAACAAATTTTTCGTTAGTCGTAGACAGTTTCGCATTTGGCGGATTATTCACTCAACATTAATTTGTATAAATCTATTTATCTATCGGATTTCCCGGATTAAGAGAAACACGTCGTTTTCGTATGAACTTAATTTAGCCTCGTTAACAACTGTGAGGTAAGGTCTTACCGAAATTATTTTATTTTGTTAATCTAACTCACTTTAATTGCTTACTTTCATTTTTTTTTTTTAATTAAATTTTTTTTTTTGGGAAGTTTAAAAAAAAAAAAAAAGAAGAAACTTATTCTAACTTAAAACTAATGTGTGTAAATGGAATTTTAGGCGGCAAGTGTACGGTATAATTTATCCGTTATCGAATTATCCGTATGATGTCAACGATAATTTAACTTCAAATACCTCGTTGAAATTTTGTTGGAAGCCATCTTGTAGTTGGACCTGTAGGAAGATTTATTGTACCATTTTTTTTTGGAAGAAATTTGGTTATATTCAGCTTATTTTTTTTTCCTCAACCATCAACCTGACGGCTATCTCCCTAGGATCAATTTTGGACACAAAAAGGTCAGAACGTTTGAACCATTGAATTTTTTTTTAAAGAAAACAAACACGTTCCAAAATTTAATATCCTGGAATCTATTTAATTTCATTACGATCTGTTAAGAAATAGTCGAGACCGGCGCGGGAAAAATCTGAGACGCTTATAGAAAGTTACTTAAAAACGCGGGGGTTAGAAAAAAACTGTCAAAAAGGAAAAATCTTACTGTTCTTGTAGAATAAGTAGAAGTATCTCTTCGAATAGCAAATAAAAGCCGAAGTGCTTCTATCGAACGTGTGTATTAACACGATTGAAACCACTTTTTAACGAAAATTACACGGCACGATTTATTACGCTTTTTTATGTCAACTACAACAACTCGTTGGAACAACTGAATAACAATAACGAATAAAATACGGAACGGCCGACTAATATATAAATTATAAAAACTTTGAACATTACCGCCCGCCTTGCCGAATGGCAACAGAAAATTAAAAAAAAAATACAATAATTTGAAAATTGACCCTAACTGAAATGATTACAAACTAAATAAGAAAAAAATGGCGGCAGGAAAACAAACTTTTACATTAAATAAAGTAATGAAATANGAAAAGGCGAAACGTTTAATTGGAGTTCTGAATGTCAAAATTCGTTTGAAAAATTAAAGTACTATTTAATTAATCCTCCAGTATTGCAATTTCCAAATTTTTCAACCGAAAATGAATTTATTTTGAAGACAGACGCCTCAGGCTTTGCTATCGGTGCAATTTTATCAAACTCAAATGATAAGGTAGTAGCATATGCTAGCAGAGGTTTAAACAAATTAGAGAAAAATTACTGTACAATAGAAAAAGAGCTTTTAGCGATAGTATGGGCAGTAAAACATTTTCTTCCTTATTTGTTTGGCAAGAAATTCAAAATTTATACAGACCACAAACCGTTAATTTATCTTTTTGGAATGGCTAACCCATCAAGCCGTCTTACAAAATTTCGTTTAATTTTGGAAGAATACGATTTCGACATTCATTATATCAGAGGAAAAGATAATGTGGTCGCTGACGCATTATCAAAAATCACAATAAATGACTTAAAAGAACTAAATAATCAAACAATTTTAGTAATGACCCGGTCTAAGACAAAATCTTTGCCGGAAGATCATCAAATTGAAATTTCTGCTGAAGATAGGCTTGATCACCCTGGCTTCGTAGAATTATTGAAAAGACCAAAACAATCAATCGAGTTGCAACCGATAAATCAAATTGAATTTGACAAATTAATAAATAACAAAAAAGTTAATATTGTTTATAAAAGTAAATGTTTAATATATGATAATAAAATGTGTACACTTTATATAAAACAGAATTCTTTATCATCGACAAACTCAGCTGCGTCGTTGAAGGAACTGTTTAATTTATGTTTTGATAATAATATTAATGATATAGTAATTATAAAAAATAAAATGACTAGTCAATTTATTAAAGAATTAATAAACTTTCAAGATTCGTTTAAAAAGGTAAACATAAATATATCTGTCGTAAAGGGCGTGTCACACGTTCATAATAAAGAAATTCGTCAACTTATTTTGAATGATTTTCATATGTTACCTACCGGAGGACACATTGGTATAAAACGTATGTTTAATAATGTCAAAAAATATTATTTTTGGAGCAGTCTTTTCAAAGACATAGAAAATTTTGTTAAACGTTGTGATGATTGCCAGCGTTATAAACATGCAAAACACAACAAAGAACCAATGAGTCTTACCGATACGGCCATACTGCATTTGAAAAAGTATTCTTGGATATAGTGGGTCCACTTAACGCAGACAATGACGATAATAAATATATATTGACGATACAATGTGACTTATCAAAGTTTGTGGAGTGCTACCCAATCAGCAATAAAGATGCAGAAACTGTCGCAAAATGTTATGTTCAAAATTTTATTTTAAGATATGGTATTCCAAAAACTATTGTAACTGATCAAGGTACGGAATTTATGGCCAGTACATTTCAGGAAACATGTAAATTATTAAAAATTAAACGTTTAAATTCAACAGCGTACCATCACGAAACTTTAGGTGCCATTGAAAATTCACATAAACATTTAGGAGCTTATTTAAGAATTCAATCGAATAAGTATCCAGACAGTTGGAGCACTTGGGTACCTTATTGGAGTTTTTCATATAACACAACTGTTCATTCATCAACTAATTATAGTCCCTATGAACTTGTGTTTGGGAAAAACCCCAGTTTACCATCAAATTTATTGCATGAAGTAGAGCCAATATATAATTTTAACAACTATGCTATTGAACTTAAATATCGACTTCAGAAAGCATGTGAGGATGCTAGGTCAAATTTAATAAATTCAAAAAATAAACGGACTGATTCTTATAATAAAAACTTAAAGGAAATTAATTTTAAGGTAGGAGATAAGATTTTAGTTAAAAATGAAGTGGGAAGTAAGTTAGAATCATTATATAAGGGTCCATATACAATAGTAGAGATGAAATCGCCGAACGTAGTTATTAAATTAAACAATAAATTAATCGAAATTCATAAAAATAGAGTTAAGCAATATTACGAATAAAAAAAAAAAATTTTAGAAGAAATTTTTTTATTTTCATCCCCCGAGGTGTAGTGTAGTAATTAATTATAAATAATATATTAATTTAATTGTTAAGTAGGTTAAGTATTCTTTTGTGCGCTATTGCAAATTCTTGGTAATCGACCATAATGTAACGTAATCACTTTTCGTTATTAAAAAGCGGTCATGATTGCGAAGGATGAGTAGTAGCAATCAATACATTAATGTAATCATATATTAATAAACATTTATTCTTACATCATGTTTCAATCAAAAAAGATCCTGAACCATCGCAAATTTTTCTTTAATTAAGATTTTTATTTTTATAATTTTATTTACAGTCGTGCCTGAAGACGACTCATTCGTTCGAGTCGAAACAATATTGTAGCACTGAAACCTAATAAATATTTTTCATCATAACAATTTAACTTTTTTCAATTTTCGAATTTAGAGTTGACGTAAAACCATTGAACGTCTACAACCGCACATCTGAACTTCATATTGTAAACTAATATGTGAAGTCATGTTGAAATTTAATTTATAACTATAGATACCTCCCCACTTGAAGGTTTTTGTAAAATTATTAAAGAATGTACGTAATGATTATAAA